ATAAACAAATGCAAGCTTTCTGGGGCGCAAAGCCTTAAAAATGTGTACTATCAGGTGCAGCAAGTTCTTCTCTGGAAACTTATTCCAAGGAAACAGTTCCTTCAAAACTATGTTCACAAGGAAGTCTCATTTATAGTAGCATAAAGTTATAAACAACCAGAATGTTCAACAGCAGATAATTGGGTAAATGGTAGCATGTCTGCACAAAGTCATCCAATCAGGGTCAGCTCCTGTGAGGGCCCCAAGCTCACACGGGCCATCCTGCCCTCTGATTTAATGCTCTGCCCTCGTTGTCGTGAAATTCTTAATGCTCTTTTGAACAAGGGACCCTTCGTTTTCATTTTTCACTGGGCCTCACAAATTATCCAGCCATTTTCTAATGCTTAATATTTATGGAGAACATTTGTTGGAGTGGAAAATTGATCTTAGCAAGTGAAGACATTAGGATACAAAAATCATAAATGTTGCAATGCTGGCTTCATAAAACATTGATGTGATCTTGATTTTCTTAAAAAGTGGGCAGAAGACATATACCAAACTGAGTAATTATCTCTGGAGAGGAGAGATAACAGAGACTCGTTGTTGTTGTTGTTATTTATTTTGTTCTTTGAACTTTTTATTTTCCCCAACGCAGAGCATATGAATATGCCACTAATTCTAATATTTCCGGTAGAGGCAGAGGGTATATATCATAACAGAGTCAGTGATTTCCCTTGAGACTCTCGTTAAATCCGCCGCATTTAGTATGCAAAGACTAAGTGTCTGGATAAATATATGAAGACAAGACCAGTTGATGAGTAAATCAGGGCTTCTTAGGAGCTTCTTCAAGTCCAGGACTGTCTGATTTCTAGGTCCCAGTTCTTTTTCCAGCTTGTCCATGTGCCCAGTGTGTGTGGCCTGTGGACAGTCGTCATCTTTCCCCGAGATTGTTGTTGTTATGTGCTGTCGAATCACTTGTGGCTCAGAGCGACCCTATGTACAACAGCCTGAAACCAGCTCTATCCTGTGCCAACTTTACTGTCTCTGACACACCTACCTCATTACCCCAGTTACTGTATCAATCCATCACATCAGTGGTATCCCTTTCTTTCTCCATCTCACTACCTTTCCAAACATGGTGTCCCTCTCCAAGGACTGGTCGCTCCTTTGCAATATGCCCAAAGTATGTCAGATGAAGCTTCAGAGTCCTTGCTTCCAAGGAGCAGTCTGGCTTCACCCTCTCTAGGATGAACCTGTTTATTCTCCTGGCAGTCCATAGTATATACAGCACTCTTCTCCAGCCCTACAGCTCACAGGCATCAATTCTCTTTCTATCATCTCTAGTCAATGTCCAGCTCTCTGACACATAGCAAGCAATTGTGAAGACTATGATCTGGATCAGGTGCACCTTAGTCTCCAGACTGACATCATTGCTCTTCAATACTCTGGAGAGGTCCCTGACAGGCAACTTTGCCAATGCAATTTGTCTCTTGATTTCCTAGCTGCTGGTACCAAGAGTGCTGATTGTGGAGCCAAGCAAACTGAAGCTGTTAACAATCTCAATCTCTTCACCATCTATCATAATGCTGCCAATCGGCCCGGTGGTGAGAATCTTTGTTTTCTTGCTATTGAGCCTCAATCCATATTGGAGGCTGCAGTCCTTGATCTTCTGCAGCAAGCGCTTCAAGTGTTCCTCAGTTTTAGCACGCAGGGTTGTGTCATCTGAATAATGCAGATTGTTGATGAATCTTCCTACGGTTCTGATAGGGCTTTTTATAACTGCAGACCCCCTGCCTTGGGGTTTGGGCTTGTGCCCCAAGGAAGTCTTGAGCTGGGAGAGGAGCCTTCAGCCATGTCCTGATTCCTCCCTCTAGAGTCAAGAGACTCGGGCTCCATCATGGGTTAGCATTCCTTCTGTGTAAAGCTGTAGAGATACACCTGGCCACTTCAGCCTCCACTGTGCAGCTCATTGCTGGCATCTCCTAGCCAGCAGAGGGCAGTAGTGATCAGCAAGCTCTAAACCACAACGAGGTACCACCTCACTCCAGTAACAGTGGCAACATTTAACAGGGCAGCAAGTAATAAATGCTGGAGAAGATGTGGCGAGAAGGGAACTCTGTTACATGGTTGGTGGGATTGTAAAATGGTACAACCATTCTGGAAGGCTCTGGAAGGCAGTTTGATGCTTCTTCAAAAAGCCGAACATAGAAATTCCGTATGACACAGCTATTCCACTACTTTGTATATACCCTGAGAAAACGAGAACTGAGGCACAAACTAAGATTTGTACACCAGTGTTCATAGCAGCATTATTCACCATTGCGAGAACATGGAAACAGCCCAAATGTCCAACCACAAATAAATGGATTGAGAAATTATGGTACATTCACACAATGGAATACTATGCAGCACGCAGGAGCAGTGATTTTGTAAATGATTACCTAATTTGGGAGGGACTGGAGAGCATTATGCTGAGTGAACTAACTCAGTCCCACAAGGATAAATAGTGTCTAAAACCATTATTGTAGAATGAGTATAAGGATACGGTGGGAGAGGATTGAAGCAGAGGGATGAGGATGTGCAGGGGGAGGGGGGATTAATCATGGTGGTGTACAGTTTGATCGGTGGTGGAGGTGAGAGAAATTAAAAGAATCTGTTCTCTAAAACAATATATTAGAATTTAAAGTAAACTAGTGTGAAATTAAAAAGAAAATAAAAATAAAGTAGGAAATACACAACAAGCAAACAAGGAAGCCAGGGAGGAAGGAGACGTTCACCTGAAGGAAATGACCATGGTTCACCCCACACCCACCTCCCAGATCGCATCTTCTCTCCCTAGTCCTTGTCAGGCTGTGGCTGACTGTCCTGGATCTCAGTTGAGTGTGGCGGAGAACTCAAGAAACCGAGAACTCCAGCTTTTTAAAGCCACGACTTCTGAGGACATAGCACGCATTCCTTCACACTTTCAGCTGACAGGCAACATCATGATAGATAGAGAAAGATGGAAATTGCCAATGATTTCTTTTTACTTAGATCCGCAGTCAACATCCAGTGTAGTAGCAGTCAAGAAATGAAAAGACATGTTGCACTGGGAAGATCTGCCGTCAGGGACTCTTTAAAGTACTAAAAATCAAGGCCATCGGTGTGAAAACTGAAGACTTGCCACAGTCTTTTAAGTTCCTTCCTGCACACTTGAAAGTTGGACGATGAATAAGGAAGACTAAAAAGAATTGATGATGCTACATCCTGTTTTTTTGTGAAGAGTCTTGAATGTCCCAAGCTCTGCCGCAAAGAACAAATAAATCTGTCTTGAAGGAAGTGGAATTGGGCACTTTGCTCCTTAAAGACAAAGACGGGGAAACGTCATCTCACTCACTCTGGGCGTGTTGTCCGAAGGGGCCGTCTTTGGATCAACACATCATACTGGGAAAGGTCAGACGAAGAGAGGAAGACCCTTAATGGGATGGGGTTGGCACCGTGACTGTAACCGTAGGCTCAAGCTTGGCGAAGGTTGTGAGGTAGGCATAGAAGTTCAGATCTGTCCTTCATAGGGTCGCTATGAGTTGTGGTCAACTTGACGGCACCTAACAAAACAAGTAGCCCTGATCATATGACAGACATACAGGAACGTTGGGGCACTTGACTGGGCATGGAACCACAGAGTATGCAAGATACAGGCTTCTGGCCCCTTCTGGAATCTGCACTGAAGAATCATCCAGTGTGTTCCCAAACGAGGTGGGCAGCAGGGGATATGAGAGCTGTCCACTGCACCTTCTGAGTTCCTGGCCTGGAGACAAGGAAAAGAGGGGTCCCCTTCTAGATGATGAACCCACGGCTCTGCTGGGGAGGCAGGACTCTAAGAGCTAAATTTCAGCAGGCTTCTGTCTAGGTTTCCTGAATGGGTCTCTGGGGCTCCGACACATCTGTGAAGTCTGCTTCACGGACACAGCTCTCCTCTCCTGCTCTGATCTCCCTCAGCGTGCTCCATACACACAGGGTACACACAGGTCCACAGTGCCAGGGGGAATGTGAGGGCACAGTGGTGGGGTCGAGGGCTGAGAGCTGAGCCCTGGCAGGGCAGCAGGGCCTCCTCTCCCCTTCTGTGCCAGCTGCCCACCTGGTGAGCATTCTGAGAGCACCTGTGATCCCACACTGCTGTGCTTTCATCACCTGGCCCTCCACGCACCTTACCTTCCCTCCTTCTTGCTCTCTTCCTTCGCCTTCTCCTCTCTCCCAACGTCCTGCCTGGTGCCCCTCCTCTCGGGAGCTGTCCTCCTCTCGATGCCCATCTGGGCTCCCACGGCCTCTGGTCTGTAGCTCGGGTGACACTGGGCACTTAAGCAGGAGCTGCAGTGGGGAAGGGGCTTAAGCACCCCCACAGATGTATGCTCACAGATCATACATGGAGATGCTAGTCTGTGCTGCAGATGGGGAGTCATAAGATTTAGGGGTTCAGAGAGTGCCTGGCAGGGTAGGCCAGCACCTAATGGCTGTTCTTGGTGTCTAAACATGTTCCCCAGAAGCAGATGGATTCTTTCTGGGGAAGAGAAGTATATTTCTAGTGTCCTGGGACCTAGCAAAGATTTTAACAATGGACAGCTGGATGAGATTTGAAAGGTGCTCAGAAAAACTGTCCCTCTTTAGCTAACATTTGTTCGTGACAGCCAGGCGGCCTCCCACACCCACACCCTGGCCCTCATTCGGCCTTGGAGCCCTGCTTCCCCTTCCAGCCCCCTGCCAGCCGCCTTCCTCAGCTGCTGTACTGACAGCCCCGCCCCAGTGAATTGTTCCCTGCTAATTACCCTTTTAAATGAAATTTGTGAAGGTTTCCGTAAATTTTGAAATGGATTTGCATTGCTGTAATTAGAGTACAGGGCAGGCAAGGGATGTGGGGCCGCACATCTTCTGCCGGCCGTGATGTTGACATGCAGACGTCCTGGGTGATCAAGGCCGGAGCTGGCCCGCCTCGTCGGCCCCACGCTGCCTGTTCAGGACTGACAGCTGCGTTTCTTGCCCCACAGACCACGGTGAGCTGGGACGGCGACAAGCTCGAGTGCGTGCAGAAGGGCGAGAAGGAGGGCCGCGGCTGGACCCAGTGGATCGAAGGCGATGAGCTGCACTTGGTAGGTACCTGGGCAGCAGAAGTGGGGCCAGACTGCGTGCCCCTCCGAGCTCCGGTCACCACCGAGGTGTGCGTGCACCTTCAAGCGTGCAGTGGGGCCAGAATCTGCTTCCTCTTTGACTTCGCTCTTTCAAGGGCCTTGAGAAATTGCTGAAATAATTAGAGGCGATGTGGTTGCAAGGTCTGGGAGCTGTCAATCAGGAGGAGATAGAGGATACACCTACGAAGTGAGAAGCATTGTATTTCCTTTCTCATCATTCTCCCAACAGCTGAGACTCAGGGCTCATTAGTATTTTGCTGTGGAGATGAAGATCTGGAGACTTTGAAAGGTTAGATTAAACATGTTGTTGTTATGTGCCATCGAGTCACCTGTGACTCATAGCGATCCTGTGTACATGAGCTCTGAACCGGCCCTATTCTTATCCAATCTCATCGTCTCCGACAGCCCTACAAGGTTAAACATGCATATCCGAACATGACAGAGCCAAAATGTTCTCCCAAAAGATGTATGTTTTCACCATGCCAAACTGTGGCCGACCAAGGCTGATGAGCATTGGCTAAGCTTCGGTAAAACACCATGTCATTCTAGGTTGTAGGGAGGACAATTTTCCTCAGCTCCAGCGGATGCGTCACTCACTCTGTCCTCCCTCCTGGGCCTCGGGTCAAAAGTCACTTCTGCTCTGTCCACTGCAAAAGCTTACACAGATCCATGTTGTTGTCATGTGCCATTGAGTTGCCTGCGATTCATAGCGACCCTATGTACAAGAGCCCTAAACCCTGCTCTATCCTGTGCCAATCGCACTGCCTCTGACACACCCATCCCGATTACTCCAGTCACTGAATCAATCCATCTCATTGAGGGTCTTCCTCTCTTGTGTTTTCCCACCACCCTCCCAAGCATGACGTCCCTCTCCAAAAACTGGTCCCTCCTTGCAACATGTGCAAAAGATATCAGAGGAAGCTTCAGACTCCTTGCCTCCAAGGGGCAGACTGGTATAGCTTTTAAAAAACAACAAGAAAAAAAGCCCACCCCTTTATTCTCAAATCAGCCATTCCAGGTGTCAGAGTAGATCTGACACCATAGTGTTTCCATGATGATCTTTACAGAAGCAGATGACCAGCTCTGTCACCTTTGGTGACACAGAACTGGCCACTTCTAGATCAATACACTGTGCAAATCATTTCTCTCACCCAGGGATCTGGTAGAGCCCAATGTCTTCTGGATACGTGAAGGGAGAGTTCTCATGCTTCCTCCCATCCATTCTGAGCCCCTAAATGCCTTCATCTTGTGGTAAGACCCTGATTCAGATGACCTGCATTCTAAACTCAGCTTACTGGGTGCCTTTGGCAGGGTCCTACCTCCCTCCTGGCCCCCAGATGCAAAATACCTCTGACTACGTGGGGGGCTGTAAGAAGACCACACCACGGTCTGCTGAAGTTTTGAGGATGTGAATGCTGAGGACAGACACAGGCCGTTATGTGCAAACACGGTGGATGAAAAGACCTCATTTTGGTCCATTCAGCTCAGTAGTTCTGTGAATCAGTGTCAGATTATATACAAGGGCCTTCAGGTTTTGGACCTAAAACCTTTCAGCCACTCACTTAAAAATTGAAGATACTACATAAATATCCAGATTTCTAGTTTCCTTTAAAAAAACACACAAAAACAAACAAACCAAAAACCCACAAAAAACCCTTACCAAAAAACAAGCAAAAGAATTAGTAGCAACATGGTGCCGGCGTATTGTCAGTTCTTAATGAGCAGAAAGCAAGGGTTTCTGAGCTGCATTACAGAGCCACCTGGGGAGAGGAGGTTTTAAATACACCACTTCTCTTTGTCCACACCTCCTCCTTAAGATACTAATATAACTGGTCTAGGGTAGGGAAGCTCTGGTGGCCTAGTGGCAAGAAGCTGTACTGCAATCCTGAAGGTAGGCGGTTTGAGGCCACCAGCTGCTCTGAAGAAGAAGGATGGGCAATCTCCTCCCATACAATTAACTACCTCTGAAAACCCACCAGAGGGTCAGCTTTGCGTTGGTTCTGGCTCCATGTATTACAACAACAACAACAGGGTAGGGTGGGAGCCAGGAAACACTGATGGTTTGAATTCACCAGCTGCTCCAGGGGAGAAGGATGAACAATCTCCTCCCATGAGGCTTACTGCCTCTGAAAGCCTGCTGGAGGGTCAGCTACGGACTGGTTCCAACTTGACGGCACATAATAGTAACAAAACAAGAGGGGTGAAGCCTCAAACTCCCCAAGTGAAGTTGCAGTGGAAGCTCAGAACCACTGCACTAATTCCTAGCTCCTGGCTGAGCTCCTTTGTGGGTTAAACCATGTGTGTGGACATAGGCTCTGACCTGGGTACAGGCCTCGATCAGAGGACCTTGAGGGTCCTGTCGCTCTGCTCTGAGCCACCCCTGTCCTCCCAACCAGCTCTAGGTAAAGTGTGCAATTAGTTTTTGCCCAAAATTAACCACCATTGAGGATTCTCGGAGTTCCTGCCCTCCACCCACCGGGCCTCAAGTGTGAACTTGTTCTGGCAATGACTGTTCTGCATCTGCTTGTGTTTCAGGAGATGCGAGTGCAAGGTGTGGTCTGCAAGCAAGTGTTCAAGAAGGTGCAGTGAGGCCCAGCGGACGGCCGGGCCGTGGCTTCCAGAGAGGAGTGTGTGACATGCATGCTGAGACGCACAACATCAAGCAGAGATGTCCAGCCCTTGCCCCCTCCAGGCACCTATTAGTGGAATGTGTCTTTTGACTTTATCTTTTACCTTTTCTTAAAACTTAGAAGGACATCCCAATAAAAATGATCTCTGCTTACCATGTCTGTTTTGGGAAAGCTTCAGCCCCCACGGTGCCTGCATTTCCTCTGGGACCTCAGAGATGGGGCTTCTCTCCTGCCGCTGCTGAGGACAAAAGGGAGACTCGGCCACCCACCTGCAGACTTGACTCCTAACGATACCTACCGTTCACCCGTACATGTCGGTTCACAAATGCACAGGATTGGGTGTATCGCATGGGACCTGATAGTCAATTACTTGTTCATTAATGCTCGAGTGTGAAGATTGTGGGGATGGTGCAGGACAGAGCAAGGTTCTGATCTGTTTATTGTTCATATGGTTGTCGCCGGCAATGGTAGCTCACTCGTTGGTGCCTAACAACAATAACAAAGATAACACAAGTCCTGTTAGGGAGCCCTGCTGCTTTAGTCTGTAGCAAGTTGTGCTGCTTATCCAAAGGCTGGGAAACAGCCTTCTTGTTATTGTTGTTAGGTGCCACTGAGCAGACCACAACACATAGTGACGCTATGTACAACATATCGGAATCTTACCCTATCCTGTGCCATCCTCATCGTCTGACATACTTGTGCCCATTGTCACTGTGCCAATCCACTTTGTTGAGAGTCTGCTTTTTTTATGCTGACACATTTCCCAAGCATGATGTCCTTTTCCAAGGACCGACCTCTCCTAATACAGGCCATGGATTTTGCAGTCACTTGTTATGCATCAGAGAGTTGGACAATACTAGGGGGGATAGAAGGAGAATTGACGCCTTTGAGCTGTGGTGCTGGAGAAGAGTATTGAATGTACCATGGACTGCCAAGAAAACAAACAGATTTATCATAGAGAGGGTTAAACCAGGCTGCTCCTTGGAGGCAAGGATTCTGGGGCTTCGCCTGACATACTTTGGACATGTTGTGAGGAGAGACAGGTCCTTAGAGAGGGACATCATGCTGGGGAGAGTGGAGGGACAGCGCAGGAGGGGAAGACCCTCTACGACGTGGATTGATTCAGTGACTGGGGTAATCGGAATGGGTGTGTCAGAGGCAATGAGATTGGCACAGGATAGAACAGGGTTTAGGGCTGTTGTACATAGGGTCGCTATGAGTCGCAAACGACTAGACAGCACATAACAACAACTATGTGAGCTGAAGTTTCTCTATCCTTCATTGCCTCCAAGGAGCATCCTGGTTGCGCTTTCTCTAAGACATATCTGTTTGGTTTTTTGGCAGTCCATGGCATACTCAGTACTCTTCTCCAACACACCTCAAAGGCGTTGATTCCTCTTCTGTTATCCTTATCCATTGTCGGATTTTCAAATACATGAGACGTGATGACAGAAGACCATAAGCTTGAATCAGGTGCACCTTAGTCTTTAAACTGACATCATTGCTCCCTAGCACTTTGGAAAAGCCCTCGATAGCTGACTTTCCCAATGCAGTATGTCTTTAGATTTTTTTGACTGTTGATGCCAAGGGTGTTGATTATGGATCCTATTATGTTCATTAACAAACACACAAACCCTCAAATTCATTGTCATAGAGTTGGAACTTCCTCATGGATAACCCATAGAAGGTTTTCAGAGGCAGTTCCTACTAACGTGTAAATGATGGCTAATTGTGTCTTTTCATGGGAAAATTTAAGAGAAATTGAGGACAGAGAAAAAAGTAGGGAAAGAGAAGACTCCCATCAGAGATCTCTGAGCAACTTCACAGTCTGCCCAAACTGAACTCTATCCTTAGAATGTATACTGGGCTAGGAATCAGGTGGGCAGAGTGCAGCACTCCTCGGGGCCCCTTCTCTCCAGTCAGAGAACCACGCGAATTCACCTCACCTCCAGCACAAATTGTCAGAATAGTTATGCATGTGAAACAGATCACCAAGCACTAGAATTGTCCTGAAGCGCGCACTGTCCATTGTGGTTGAGCCAGAACCAGCTCCTAGCTGACCTGTCTGGAGGGTTTCCGGAAACTGTCAGTTGCAAGGGAATAGCTTGTCCGTCTTTCTCCTGTGGACGAGCTCGTGGATACAAACCACATACCTTTATGTTTGCAGCTCAGCTCCCTACCACTAGGTCACCAGAACTCCCTCAGATACATATTGCTGTGTTGTTAGGGGCCCTCTAGTTAAGTATGACTCAGAGCGACCCTATGAACAGACCCAGACCCTCTCCTATCCTGCACCATCCTCATCCTCTCTGACACACTTGAACCCATTGCTGAAGTCACTGTGTCAACCCATCTTATTGGAGGGGAGGGGGCTCTTCCTCTCTTTTGCTGACTCTCCACTTGTCCATACATGATGAGACTTTTCCGAGGAATAGCCTCTCCTCGCAACATGGCCAAAGTAGAAAAGATGAAGCTTTGTCAGCTTTACCTCCAAGAAGATCCTGGCTACCCTTCCCTCCACCCCCCAAGACATATCTGTTTGCTCTCTTGGCTTATTGTTCCATGGTCTGTTCAAGACTCTTCTCCAACATCACAACTCAAAGGCATCAGTTTTTCTTTTGTCATCTTTACTCATTGTCCAGCTTTCAGATGCATAGCAAGTGATTGAAAGGACCACGGCATAAATCAGGCACACCTTAATCTTCAAACTGACATCATTGCTCTTTAGTATTTTGGAAAGGTCCCTGACAGCAGACTTGCCTAATGCAATACACCTTCTGATCTCATAACTTCATTTACCAAGGGTCTTCTTATTGGATTCAAGCAATATGAAATCACTGATAACTTCAATCCTTTCTGCATCGATCACAATGTTGCCTGTTGGCCCAGTTGTGAAACCTTTATCTATGTAGAGATGTAGTCCAGAGTGAAGTCTGTAGTCCCTGATCTTCTGCAGCAAGTTCAAGTTCTCACTTTCAGCAAGCAAGGTTGTGCCATCTGCATAACACAGGTTGTTAATAACACAGGTTGTTCCTCTTCAGAGAATCCAGTTTCATGAATTATTTCTCAGCACACAGATTGAACAGGTGTGGAGAAAGGATATATATATGAGATCTTCCTAAAAGCTTTGAAAATCCTCCAAGTCCAGGCCACTTCGCAAAACCAGTTACACCCGCTCATCAACCTGATTAGTTTCCAAAGACCAGGTTGTTATGCAAAAACTAATCGTAAAAATGTAGGTAACTGCATTATTATACAATTTCAAAATTACACTGTTGCATCACTGCCACACCACATATGCATGTTAATTTAGTTATTGTGGGCTTTTCTTTTTAAACTTGAGAGACCATTTCTCTAGCCGAGGCCAAGAAGAGAGAGTTTAGTGGTTGTAGTTTTTATGTGCTATCTACTCATAGCGACCTTATGTACAAAAGCTCTGAATCCTGGCCGGTTGTTGTTGATTGCTGCTGAGTGGAGCATGACTCATAGTGACTCTATGAACAAAAGACCTTTTGTTAACTTTTTTTTTTGTTAACTTTCTATGACTATTGTTGTTTTTCAAAGTTCATAGAGTTTCTAGAGGCATGTTGTTTAGAAAGTGCTGACCGATCTCATCATCTCTGACAGACCCGATCCCAACTTCTCCAGTCACCAAATCATCTCATTCTGGTCCATCTCCTCCTGTACTGTCCCTCCACCTTTCCAAGCATGGTGGTTTTCTCCAGAGAGGGTTATTAGACAACTCTTTTTTTTTTTTTTTTTTGGTACCTCCTGGTCACGCGCCCAAAGTATGTGTGAGACAGAGCTTCAAAATCCTTGCCTGCAGCGAGGAGCTTGGTTTCACCATCTCCAGGACCTGTTTGTAAACAGCTGCTAACCAAAAGGTTGACAGTTTGAACCCATCCAACCCTACCACAAGTGTCTGTCTGCTTCTGTAAATATTACTACCAAGAAAACTCTCTCTCTCTCTCTCTCTCTCTCTGTCTCTCTCTCTCTCTCTGTGTGTGTGTGTGTGTGTGTGTGTTCCCACTTTGTCAAACGGGGTCCCCATGAGTTGTAGTTAATGTCACCCAACAAAATCAACAGAGAAGGAAATGAGACCAGATTTATTTAAGATCTCAGAGGTGCATTTACTCGGGGCTCTGTTTCTGAGGTTAAATAACCAAAGACAAAGATTTTTCTAAAAACCTTTTGTTCGTTTTTCTAACATGAATTAATTTTTATTGATATTTTGAGGAAAGATTATCGAGAACTTGGATTTCTATTAATTCATTGTTGCACATTTTCCTCCCTGCCCACCCCTGCCCACCATTCACTTTTCTCTTTGAAAAGGAAAAAAAACACCAAAACTCTTTCATTGTTCTACAATCCCCTCCCCAGTCCACTTTACTATGCAGCTCTTATTCTGGACTCTTGTCATACAAATAATACCTAATCATATATTCCTTTTAAATAGTTCTCTTCCTCATCTGTACATTATTTATCCCCTCTTTTCTTAGTTTCCCCCAAACTCCGATGTCAGTCCTGTTTTACAACAGTGGCACTATGCAATATTTGTAGTTTTGTGACTGAGATATTTCACTCAGCATAATGTCCTCCGGGGTCACCCATTTTGTATATTTCATGAGTTCTTTGTTTTTCAATGCAGCATAGTATTCTTTTTTTTTTTAATTGAAAGAACAATTTTATTTAAAAAAAACAACAGTTAATTTAAAAAAAAGAAACAGAGATCTGGTACTCTTGGGTGGTTTTTTTTCTCTTTCCAATATTTTTTTAATTTATTATTAATTTCAATGACAATTTACAGAGACCTTGGATTTCTATTCATTCATTGTTGCACTTTTCTCCCCTCCCAACCACCCTCCCTGCAGTACACTCCCCTCTTGGAAAAGTAAAAGAAAATTCTTTCATTGTTTTACAATCCCTCCCCTCAGGTCCACTCCACTATGCAGCCCTCAC